GTAGTTAAAAAGATGTCATATGCTTAAGCAGCCCTGGAATTGACCAAAAACTCTCATTAAAAGTTATCTACGTCTAATCCAGTGTGCCCAAGAGTAGTGATATTTCTTAATAGATTGTTTCTCCAATTTCTCTTCTTCCTCCTCTGGTTACTAAGGTCTTTTAGTAAGTTGCAGTGTCCTTCCCAAATCAATAACCAGGTCTTCATTACTGCTCACTTAAATTGACTATGTTTCCATAAGATTTATTTCTATTTTATTACTTACGCAGTAGTTATAAAATAACATCAACTTCCTAAGTTCAAATTCTTAGGCCTTGCCAAAATTTATGTGAATATGGGCAAGTAAATTAATCATTTGAAACCTTGTTTTCCCCATCTAGGAGAGGAAAATAATGCCATTTTAATGACAATCATGTACAGGTAGAGTGGCTCATTACACTGCATGGCACACGATAACTATTGTTATTGATAATATTGCTAGGTGTACATACAATCTCATTGACTCCCAGATGGAGAGAGACAACAGCTTCTCACCATCCTCCGTGACCTGCAGTTTTTCTCCTGGTTTGCATTCTGCCACCAGGCCAATTTCAAAACACTGCGTTCACTATGTCACTCCCTTCCTCAAAAGCCTAATACATGCATAACACAGCATCCAACACATAGTAATCAGTAAATATATGCTGAAGTTATTAAAAAATATCATACAATGTACACAGCTCCTGCTTGCTTAATCCCAATGTCCATATCTCTTGTGCTAGAGACAGGCTAGCCATTCACTAAGTCTGTTTCCTCTTTCACCCGGGCACACAGCAGGACTACATTTCCCAACCTTCCCTTGCTATGAACTGTGGGCAGAAATGATGTGTACCACATCTAGGTCCGGTCGATGGAACCCTGCTTTACACGGTCATCCATCCTCTTTCCTCTTCTGCTATGACTTCGGAAGTCATGTACTGAAAATGGCGCGGCCATAGTATGGGAAGAGTCTGAACCCCTATGTCACTGTTAGACATGTTCACCCATTAGGACACCCATTTTGGACTTCAAATAAGCAAGAAATAACCTTCAGTTGTTTTAAAGCACAGAAATTTCTAGGCTTAATTGTTAATTAATATCCTAGCTCATGTCTGACAAGTCAACCTTATTTTCTCCAGTACCCAAACTTGTTCTTCCAGTTAGGCAAGTTTCCTCACATACAATCCCATCTGCATGCCTTTGCTTCTTTCATTTAACATCAACGGAAATACCATCCCCCACCCCCTTCATTTTGCTTATCTAAATCTCAGTCAAGGCTAAACTAGGATCTCCCACAGAATCGCACCAGCCCACATCATCTCTCTCTTCCTAACAGCAGGGGATCACAAACTCGAATGCCAACAAGAACCTAGCAGAGGACATAAAAGAGTACAGCAGCCCAGCAGGAAATGTGTGTCTAAATGAGATAACCACTTCTCAGTGTCAGTAATTGCTAAGAAGGAATAAAAACCCTGGTTACCAGATCTTCTGAGAAAAGTAAAAGGTCTAAATTTTACTGCCGTGAATTTTCTCAATTTTTAAATAGTGGCAATTAATTCATTTTTTTAAAATACAATATG